AGTCACGACCAAAACAACAATGCATTGTTCCAAAGGATATTTATAACAACCCAAACTCTCCCAGCCCCTCTCTCACCAGGCTGTCAAGGGTCTTATATCCTAATCTTCCATTCACTTTCTTCTTGATATTATTTGCCTCTGAGAATTAGCAGAAATTTGTTTCACTCCTTTCGTGTTCTTCTCCACATTCCATTCCTGAACTCCTTTCAAATGTACTTTTCACCTCCTACTTCACTATTTTCATTACCTTTTGGGCAACCTAAGGGAAGTCTCAGTCCTTCAGTGGAAGAATTCTGGGGTGTAACATCTTGGGAAACCCAGAGTTAGTTTTCATCTAAACTGAGATTAGTACCTCAGGTTGCACTCCAGTTCAAAATACTACCAAATGAACTAAAACCAATTGGGATGACGTAATTAGTAATAATTATTAAGGCATGGCTTTGTGCCTTATTAAATACATAGTAGTGCCATATTAAATACATAGTAGAATCATACGTTATGCCTGCTGAATTCATAATATATTAAGGATACTCTAATCTATTTGCAATATATTAATGATACTCTTTTTCCTAATAAGGCAACCTTTGTATGAATCCTGTGAATTATCAATTATTCATGCTTATTACTTTTAGACAATTTGAACCTATTTATAATCTAACTCTCTGTCCACTATACCATCCGATAAATCATACCAACTTCCAGTAAATTCATTAACAAAAGAAATAAAGTCCAAAACAATCTTGGTTTCCCAATCTTAGAGAATGTGCTTAATCACCCGAAAGTCAAATGTACAATAGGTACTGTTCTCTTATCCGAGAGAAAAAGTTGATTACACTTTCCAGTTGCTTACTAGAAGCAGACCAGTGATCTGAAGAATGGAGTTGAAATCTTCATCTTGAATTAACTTACTATCCATTAGGCTATTTTACCAATATTTTGCCTGAGCAATGTGAATAGAGTGCTAAATGTACCAAACCAGTAAAGGCTGTATGTTTTCATTAAGAAAATTTCAAATGAATGAGTTAGGAAGTGTAGTAGATATATTCTTCCTTGAAAGTAATGTTTGAGATGTATAGCAATCTGTTTGGAATGTGGATGCCTTAGGATGGCATCCATTGATACCCCACTAATAAAAAGCATTTCAATAGTAACAAAGGAGGCACTGTTCAGCTGTCTCTCTTTACAGTCCAGTGTTGCATCCACTAGCTCTGCTAAAGAGGTTTTCCCCAATTTTCTTGGCTCCTTAATTACATGATTACACATGATTGGTGGCTATAGAGCTTCAGATGATTGCTTCCAGTTCACAGAGGATGGGGCACAGGGCACCTTAAATCATTAGTGTAATGTGAGGAGCCATGTAAATTAACTTAAATAAATAAATATTTATCAGTATCTATCAGTATCAGTGTTTACATGTGCTTCATTGATTTCCAAAAAGCTTTTGATAAAATAAGACACAGCAAACTATTAGAAATCCTGAAACAAGGGGGACTAGATGACAAAGACATCCAAATAATAAANCTCGAACAGCATTCTTCAAAATGAAAAAGGTCTTCTGCAGTCACGACATAAGCCTAAGACTGAAAATCAGGCTTGTCAGATGCTATATTTTTTCTATCCTGCTCTATGGAGTAGAGAGTTGGTCTCTGACAGAAGGCCACCTGAAGAGACTAGAAGCATTTGAAATGTGGATTTACAGGCGGCTGTTATGTATAAGCTGAGTTGACAAGATCAGAAATGAGGAGGTGATAAGCCACCTGGGAAAGCCAAGGGAAATCATCAAAACAATTAAAAAACAAAAATTAGAATATTTCGGACATGTGATGCGACACCCAGAAAAATACGGCATACTCCATTTAATCCTCCATGGAAAGATTGAAGGCAAACAAGGTCCAGGCAGAAGAAGAAGATCATGGCTTCAAAATCTAAGGGACTGGTTTGGACAAAACTCAGCAGCGCTTTTTCGTACGGCTGCTGATAAAAACATGATCGCCAACTTGATCGCCAACGTCCGATAACGGATATGGCACAAGAAGAAGTATCTAAAAAGCATTATTCTAAATATTGCTCTTTAACTCTACTTCTGTTCTTATGAATAAAGTATTACAGAAAGACCATATATTTCAGGGATTACTCATTTAAAAGGAATCCAAATTTTAAAAGTATCTCTCTTACAACTTTTCACTAATTAGGAAATAAGAACTGCATAACATTCTGGTTCTCCTTTGCATCTGACACATTTAAAGTAGAGGTGAGAAACATATGATCTTTCAGATGTTTCCAGAAGCCCAGCCAGCATGGTCAATAATGAGAGATGCTCAGAATTGCTCAAGACATTTAGAAGGCTTAGGCTCCCTACCCTGCATGAAATAAAAAGTTGCATAATAACTTATACAGTAAGTATGTATTATGCCAGTGGTGGCGAACCTATGGCACAGGTGCCAGAGGCGGCACTCGGAGCCCTCTCTGTGGGCACATGTGCCGTTGCCCCAGCCTTGCCTCTGCCCATGACCCCCTCCTCAACAATAGCCCCCCTGGAGGAGAGTCAGCCCCGAGTGTGGTGCACGCAGAGCAGCACAGCCAAGGACATGGCAACCAGGAAGCGTAGACAAGACTCTGCCCTCATGCCCAATGTGTACAGTTGATGCTGCGGGGCGCAGGCAGAGGGCGTGGCCACCATGGCACTGCTGGGCTGCCTGGGCAATCTGTGGCGGGCCCTGGAGGCGATGAGTGGCCCCGCGGGCAGGCAGGGTGAGGTGGAGCAGGGGCAGGACAGGGGGTGGAGCGGGGGCGGGGCAGGGGGTGGAGTGGGGGCAAGGCCAGTTTTGGGGCACTTAGTCTCTAAAAGGTTTGCCATCAGTGTCCTATGCTTTAAATGTGGGATATAAAAGGGTGGGAGATTCCATGTGTCACAAGCCAAAAAAGCAAAAAGTTGCCTTGTAAAGTCACCATTGCTTTTCAGTTTCTGCAGAATCACCCCAAAGAGGCTTTGAGTATAGAAAGCAGAATTTTTTTTCTCACATTATTCCTTTTGTCACTTTTACTCAGAAATACAGTATAGTAAAACTTTGAATAAGGAATTCACATTACATTGCATTTCTCTTAATAACCGAAGTTAAGCTTTGTGGCAGAGATTATAACATAGAAAGTGGAATGACAAGAGGCACCTGAACCTTATCTGAGAAATCTGCACCCAGCAGGTCTGAAAAATAAATTCTAAAACACAATTCCCAACCAAGGCTGATATTATTCCCCTGGGAAATCTTCCAGTTGCTTTTGTTTTTTTTAATTCAAGTACTGGATACAAGATAGCTGTCACTTCCTCTCAGATCCCATTTTTGTGTGTGTGTATTCATAGTTATTTTTTGAACTTCATGACAAATGAGTGCTTCTGTTAACATCTGTAACAAAAAGGATACTTCACCTCCCACATATGCTTAAATCACAAAAGAATGTTCTGCTTTCTTAAAGTTTGAATTTTAGCTGCATGCCAATTGCTTCTTTCTGATATTATCATCAGTTATATTCCCCGTATGATAAAGGCTACTTAGCTGATTGCAATTTTAACAGAGAATAATATTTGAACCAAATTATGTTGTTAAAAGTGGCTTAAATTGGTCATCTGAGGGATGGATGAAATGACAACAACTTCAACTTCTCCACTGATTGCTGTTCCTTCTCTAGGGCTGTATTGTCCAGTCATCATGTTTTCCTCAGCTTCTGTTCTACCTAGAAAAACCATTTTTAATGAAGGTGTGCATTCACTTTTTCCCAAAGTAATTTTGAGCTAGTTTTTCACCTTTAATTTGTATCCCATTGCTAGTCAATAGGTAACAGAAGAGTGATGTTTTTTAATCTGTCTCAATTTTTCTGTAAGATATGCCAAAAGGCATAGAATTTAGATACTGAAATAGGCTGTCATCACCCCTTTTCTTTATTCATAGAGTGAGAAAGTTTCTAAAAGTGCAAGCTACTTAACTGCTTGGGGATAAGAGCCAATACAGCTTACTTTTATTATTTACCCATAAACACCATAAATGATTCTGTGCATTTTAGTACAGAAGGAGGAGAATCGATCCCTTAGAGATGCAGAGAAATCCTTATCAACCTTTTCCAGTCTAATTACAAATCAAAGTTTACCAAAAATAGAAAGCAGTGAAGTGTAAATCATAAAATAAACATAAAATCCCATATGATGACTGCCAGATTTATATGTTAAAATAAATTATCCTACTTCAATAGATTTAGAGGGTCCTGAATCAGTAGCATCTCACACACTGGAGTTACCTGGTCCCATGGATTGACCAGGGATTCCAAGAATAGACCAAACAGCAAGAGACAAGAACAGGACGTTGCTAAGTTCTGTCACCATGCTGCATGCTGGCTGCTATAAACCATAATTTGAGCTGCACCATTTCATCCTGATTGCATAACTATCTAAGCCACTCCTTCACTCACAAAGTAATATAGTGAAATACATTTGACAGGCTGGTTAATGTTTTACATTAGTCAGAAATGAATTTAAAAAGTGCAGGAACTCTTTTGTTATATTTAGGTGGTAATAATAGCTCATTTTGAGATGGAATGCAGAGCAAAGTGAAGTTAGTGTTTATTTTTGTTTCTATGGAAATTAAAAATATAATCACAGTGTTGGTCAGATGTGGTCTATGCAAGCAATGAGATGATTCTATAATTTTTTTGTGGTTTTTTCCCCTGACATTCTACTGTCTGATTTCTAAAAAAAAGTCAGAATTTCCTTACTCTTTAGCATATGAGAGGGAGGATGCTACTCACCCATAACTAAAAGAGGTATTGGAAAATAGATGAGGGAGGAGGTTTTCTCCAACAAATGGTATTGGAGATACAAATGCATCTCCTCCAAAATCCATCAAGTTGAAAAAAAATAGTATTTCATATCAAATTATCCAATCAAATAGACTCAAATATATTTTATTTATCAAATATTTATAAAATATATAAAAGTATCCAACTCTGTTATTCTATTCTATTCTATTCTAAATACATAAATACAAGATTTTCATGAATTTCTTCCTTTGGCAAAGTCATCATAAAACTTCCAGCATGATATAGGTAACCATTGTGTCCTGTCATGAATTGTGACTCCTTTTTCAGGAAGTATTAGAATGGTCTAATCTTTGATATTGAACACGTGTATAGATTTCTCTTCTGTTCCACAGTTTGTGCCAGCATATATTCCTCTGCAGCAACCTGCCAAAACAAGGAGGAGATCAATATGGATTTACCATGCCCTGCTTTAAATTCTCTATGATATGGGCAAAATACTTCTGCATTGTTCAATGTTAGCAGTGACAACTATTGTGGCCAAAGCCCTCTAAGACATACCTCTTCTTTGAGAACTGATGGTCTATCTCTTCCAGAGACTGTCCTTTGGTTTCTGGTACAAATAAATAAATAAATAGTACAGCCGCCAATCCCACCAGTCCATAGAAAAGGAAGGTCCATGACAAGCCAATGACATCTGCATAGAGAAATATTACAAAATCAACGTATGACATAATGCCACATTTGCTGGGATAGATAAAGGCTGTCATGAAATCAGGAGCTTACCAAAGGCTACTTAAAAGGAGCTGCAAAATTTCCTTTCAAAAGTAAATTTACACTTTATTAGACTCATGCATTCAGCAAGATCAGAAGTTTCATCTGGGCATTATTTCAATAATGGATGCATTGTAAAAGGTGCCAGTTATTTTAATTAAATTGAGTTAATAGCATTTTGATTACAAACATTCTCAAGGATGAGGTAATAACAATAATAAAAGGTTTTAAAAACATTAACAGCATGGTTTTGCAGTATTTCTCCACCTTTAGTATCTTGGAGATGGACAATTGCCATAAATACTTCTCAGATGGGTTTTACTATTAACAGCAGAACCAGATGGCCTTTCTCTACGACACACAGACTAATACATATCTGAGCTACAAATAAGTGCTGACATAATATTTATGGGATTAAAATATTTGGTAATATTTGAAATATTTTGATAATATTTTAAAATATTACCCAAACACAACAATAATTCTAAAAACTTCTGAAAGAAACAATGTCTAAACTAGCTAAATTAACTGAAGGCATGCAACCTTTCCAAAGATGCTTTTCGAAAGATGCTTTTCTAAAAGGCATCTGGACTTTCTTGTTTTTTTTAGTTCTTTGAAAATGTTTTGCTTCTATAGTTTCTCCTTCAACCATGACTTGGATGATTGAGAATCTCCATCGACCTCATAAAATCAGATAGATTATAATCTTACTTTTTCAAGTGAGCTTCAGAAATAGCTTCGTATTAGCTTCAGAATTGTCTTTACTATTGTAATAGGAAACAACTGGCTTTTTAAATTTCAGACCTGAGGTTGCATAAGTCTGGATCAACAGCTGTTTCTTAGTTTCAGACTAGTAGTTGTAATTTTTTAGTTTAATATCAGCTAGTGACTTAATACATTCAGTCTGCAATCCCACTCTTGAGAATGACACTAAATGGCAAACCACAACATCTGGTGTAATTTTGGATTTCCCCCCTTCTTCTGCAGCCTTAGTATTATCTCCTCTGATGCTGAGTTCTGGAGCATATAAATATTTGTTTGCTCTTTTGTTAAGAAAATACCATATTGTCTAATAAATACATTATCTAGCTTTGGATTTTGGATTTTTTTTCCTTCTAATAACACCATTATGATATCTTCTTTTAAATGTTACTTTTGTCCATCCAAGAAAATCATGAGAAGCACCATGACTTCTGGCTTAGAGTAGACTAAGACTGCCTTGAACTGAGTGTTCTGGTTTGGCAGAGATTTGAGTCTGGCTTTCTTCAGTCTAAATTTAACATTCTAGCGACTATATATGGCTGATTGTGACTCCAGAAATGATATAATAAACAGGAGACAAGATCATCAAACAAAGGCAGTGACCCTTTGTTGGGTCTAGATCGGAGTTTCTCAACCTCAGCAACTTTAAGGCATATGAACTTCAACTCCCAGAATTCCCAGTTCTGGGAGTTGAAGTCCATACATCTTACACCTGTTGAGACTGACAAACACTCGTCTAAATACACCCTATTATCAGCTCTGCTATGATTATCAGCAGCAAAGAATGTCAACAAGAAGCCAATATTATACATACCAATGAGGTCAAGGAATGTAAGACTGATCAGTAAATTGGCAGCCCAGTTGAAACTATTGCAGAACGCAAAAGCTCTTCCTCGTATGCTAGCTGGATAGATCTCACTGAGGACAAGCCATGTCACTGCAGGAGGAGAAAGGAAAGCGAGTGGAATTAGGCGAGAGAAAGAAAGAAATCATAAGCAATATTTTGTACAACCATTAAGAAGAAACTGGAATGGGAAAGATATTATAGAAAGAAAGCTTGAACTGTTGAGTTGGAAGATGCAATTATTCAGAAGCTTCAAGTTAAACACAATGAATCCTTCAACAGCTAAGATATGAAGAGACATACTGAGGATTATTATTATTATAATGATTACTACCACTACTACTCTTGCTCCTAAACAGACTTTTAAACTCACATATGTTTAAACATAAAATACATATTTGCACATGCATATTACTTTTTTACAAGAAACACTGAAAAGATAGGTAATATACTGTTTAGAAAATTCTATGTATACGGATTGCGAGTGGGCAAGACAGACATTTTCACTGAATTGTGAAGTAACTGGAACAATTAAAACAAAAACAAAAAAAGAAGCTTCTCCATTACTTGTTATAATAGGTTGCAGTACCTAGATGAATTTGGCTAATCCTAAAGAAGCTGAGCAGAGTAGGACCTGGTAAGTAGTTTGTAAGTAAAATCAATTTCTGGAGTAGACTGGGAACTAATAAAAAATATCAAAAGGCAATGCAAAATAACTTCCATCTCACTCATAAAACAATATGGACATGGACGTGTAGTCTTCAGATGTCAATTCAAATTAGGGAAGATTTTGTCTTTGCTCTTCATTCTGGAAAACCATATTTCTAGGTGCATTATTAGTAAATACAGTAGTGTCCCATGTAATTTTAAAAACTAAGCAGGACCCTAATGGCTAGAAATTCTGGGAGGTAAGTTCTAATCCATCTTCTAGAGCACGGGTGTCAAACTCGCCACGTCACGTGACGTGTCGTGTCACGATGTATCACGACTTTTTTTGCATTGCCGGAGTTGGGGTAGGTGTGGCCTCCATATGATGCAACCGGCCTACTGGCCGGCAGTTTGACACCCCTGTTCTAGAGAACACCAATAAGAAGGCTGGGCCAATAAATGCATTATACCGAGTGCACCTGTGGATTAAAGGCTGCTTTGTCAAGTACATGAATATCCTGCTTCCTTTCAAAGGAAATTACCAAGAGAAAGATCAACAAACTGACCATGCTAAATAGTTGGGTTAATGAATAGTGTCAGGCCTACCCCAGCTGGATCGCCTCTTAGGAAAGAAAGACCCTCGACTCCATTGGGTTTGAAGTGATAGACTCTTTTGCTAAGGGGTGCTGGTTGCAGTAAAGCCAGGCTAGAACTAAATTTTCTGCGCAAAAGTATACAGGCTTTTCCCCTCAATCTGACCCTCCCCCCCTTGACCAGTCCATTTCCAGCCAATGGGTGAATGGCTAGGTGCTTTGGGAACGTTCAGTGTTTGGAGCAATCGGCATTCCATACCCAAGCATCTTCAGCCTCTCATTGTCCTTGAAGATTGGCACACTGGTTTAAAGCATCCCTGTTCTTCCTCAACTGTCAATCCCTCCTCCCAATTTCCCAGTACTAGCTCAATACATGTTTATTGCCCATTTATTCCCTCTCTCCCTCTTAGCTATTGATGGCAGGATACCGGTGAGGCATGGAGCCAAAGATGGCAGAACTGACAAATAGTATAAAATAATGTACAAGTCAATATAAGATTCATTAATTGAAATTTATATCAATTCCTTTGTGGAATTTCTTGGCCCAAATAATGAAGATAAAAGCCCCATCTGTGGTTCCACCAATAAGATCAGTTCACGGGCAATGCCTTGCAGCAGCACTTTTAGTACTTAGTTATAGCATTCCAATTATGGAACTTCAGAAAGATGTTCAGCTGATTCCCATGCTATCTTTCCGAAAATAATTGTAGACATGTCTATTCACCCAACAATTTATGAGATAACAATTACTCTAGGAATAGATTCACTGTAAGATGACCAGTGTTTTTTATTCTTTTTTAAAAAACTAAATTTGTTTAAAAGTTTGTATTTATTGGTTTTTAAACATTTCTGGTTTTATTATGACAGCTTTATTTAAGACTGTTTTTAAAATTGTTGTAAACTACTTTGTTTGCTTCTGAAAGGAAGAGTAGTAATACGCAGGAATCACATTAATCAATTAACTTGTCAGTCAGTAAAAACCAGCTAGTCTGATCTTCAACTTTTCTTAAAATAATACTTTTCTTTTAATCAAATGCAAACCTCACCTGATTAAATAATCTTTTCTAGGGCTTCTAACTGGCCAATACAGGTTCCTCTTTCATTCAGGTAACTTGTAAGTATTTGAAGCAGGCATACAAAATAGGTTGGGGTCACTGTTCGTAGTATTAATGCCTCAACTGATAATATTGACGTTTTATTTGCAAACTGTGGCATTATAAATTGGCAGATGTATGTTTTCCATAGTTATGTTTGCTTAACTGGGTATGTAAATAACATTTTAACATAGTGCTTACTTCCTGGAACAGATAGGTAAAAGGAACTCTTTCAGTAAGTCTCTCTCTCTCTCTCTCTCTCTCTCTCTCTCTCTCTCTCTCTCTCTCTCTCTCTCTCTCTCTCTGTGTGTGTGTGTGTGTGTGTGTGTGTGTGTGTGTATGAAGAACTCCAGTGATTGAATGGAACAAAACTAGACACTTAACTTAGCTGCAAAGCATAGGAGAAAGCTTGTCGTTAGCATGTCCAGTGACATGCTAACGACAAGCTCAGTGTTAAAGTGAGACAGAGCAGTAGTCCAAGACATACTGTAGGTGCATAAACCATAGATTCATATGTGCCCCGTCCCAACTTCTTTCAGTTCCCACAATATATCCAGAATGGGATTGGACAAACCTGCTGCTTGTCTTTCTGCAGAGTAATGGAATTTTAATATAACCCTCTCCCCAAACTTCTCATGTTACCTGCCATAAACCTTGTGGCCTTTGGAAGCCAAGGCTTTCATTTTTGTTCTGTTTCTAAATGAAGCTCCTGGCCACAAGATTGCTATCCTGGTCTAAAATCAGCTCTGAAGTGAAGTGGCTTTATGAAGATCAGAACATTATCCACTCAAAAGCCTATTCATGTTTAGCCAGAATCAGCCCTATAAAATTTGATTAAGGGGGCTAATGACTGAAAATTAAGAGTTTTTTTCCTGGCTTGTTTTTTTTTTTTTTTTTTTAAATGAACACTCTTTCCCCCCATTCCTGACTCTTTTTATTATGGAGTATTCTAATGAAGAATAGGAACTCCTGCTGAAACCACAAATGCATTTATAGTTTGCATGTATAGATTTGTGAATCAAAGGTCTTACTGCACTTATTCCATTATGGCATACACAACTATATTCTAATTATAATACTGTAAGGAGTAATTGTAGGCCATTTCAGAGCCAAACTGATTGGGCAGCACAGAAGCCCAACAAACAAACACAATAAACTACTTAGTAAGACTCAAAACACATCCATGCATAGACAGGTCCATTTATGATAAGAAATATGAAACCAGGAAGATACTTACTTGGTCCAAATCCAATTGAGAATGCACTTACAAAGGCCATCAAGCTCAGGAGTGTAATCCAGTTTAGGAGCATGTGTCCCTTAGAAGATGCCCCGCTGATTGAAGAATTGGTATCCCTTTCTTTTTCTTCCACTGATTGGGTGAGAAATTGGGTTTGCTCATTTTCTAATGTAATGGTTGCCCTTTTTTCCCTACTTTTATTATTAGTAAGCGTTTTGACTGCTGGTCTCATGATAGTAAAAGTTGATTCAACTTGTATTTCACTAGTATCTTTTGTCAATAAGAAATAGGAAGCGGCTGGTTGGGGAGACACTGGATTTATGTGGAGATGAGGTGAACTGAAGGAAGTATTGTTTGAATCTATGAGTGTTTCACAGTCTTTAATCATAACTAACGGAACAGAGCAGCTGGCCAGGCCAATAATCATAACTGAAAAAGCCATCACCAAACATCCAGCCATCAATAATACCCTTCGGCCAACCTTATCTGCAAAAAACATGGCAAACAGGGTTGCAATAACCTTCATCACCCCTAGACCAACAGAGGCTAGGATAGCAGAGGAATCAGTCTGAAATCCCACAGAACGGAAAATAGTAGATGCATAACAGAGGGCATTGGGCTGTCCAGTGAACTGCTGAAAGAGGACCAATCCTAGGCCAATAAAAGTCCTGTTTCTCATATTGTCCTTTGATCTGAAAAGATCTACAAGGGAATAATTCTTCTCCATGGGGCATGGCAATATTATGTCTTCACCGTCTTCATTCTTACAAGGTTGAATGAGGTTACTATGAGTCACACTGTAGTGTACCTTGAAAGTCCTGGAGTTGTTGGGGAGGAACAGGATGCTGACAAACTGGATGACTGCCAAACCAATAGCCAAGCCAAACATGTATCGCCATCCCTCGGGTGTGTCAGTAAAGATATAATTCAGTGCATATGAAAGTAAGATGCCCATGGTGATGCCAGCTTCATAGAGGGATACCAATAGCCCTCGCTGATGGGCAGCCACCATTTCAGAGACATATATACAGCATGCCATAGATGATAAAGAAATGGCAAAACCTACAGTCAGTCGCCCACCCACCAGCCAAATAAGTGACCTAGCAAGTGTCAGGATGAGACTGCCACATAGCAAAACGGCATTGCTGACCAATATTGCTTTCCGTCTTCCCTGCCGGTCAATAAAGATTCCTCCAACCAAAGAAGCTATGAGAGCTCCAATGAGTAAGGCACTCACGAGGACTTCCTGTTCAATACAACGAAGATGGAAAACCACCTGCAGCTGCAACAGTGCTCCTGAGATGATTCCAAGTTCATATCCAAAGATCAGTCCTCCAAAGAGTGAGATTGCTGATGTCAACAGGAGGACGAACGATGCTTGTCCTGGAAGTTGAGAATAAGAACAAGAGTGAGATCTGAGAGAACTTCTTTTTTAAGTTGGTATAGCTTACAAGGAATAACTTCAATGTTATAAACCAGGGGTCTGCAACCTGGACAACTTTAAGACTTGTGGACTTCAGCTCCCAGAATTCCTCAGCCAGCTCTGGGAGCTGAAGTCCACAAGTCTTAAAGTTGTCAAGGTTGCAGACCCCTGTTATAAACTACATCGCGTTTGAAAGCAAACTTTGTTAATATTGTTTTATATATAAAGTCAATCCAGGATTAATAGTCTCCAATACATCAGCATGTTCATATAATGATATTGTGATTTTTAAGAGCCTACCTATCTCCCCTATCTACTAAAAGTAATCTGAATGTCAACGTTCTGAGGTCAGAAATGGCAGAATTTTTTGAAATGCAAAATACTCTTTTGGGGGAAGAGTGATGTTAGGGAGAACCTATGTCACAGCCCAGTAAAACAAGAGTTTTGCAAGAGTCACAGAAGTATGACTCAATGTTGGAAAACATGAAAAACCCGCTAGGGCAGAAAACAGTACTGTAACCAGATTTGGTACATTACTCTCTGCAACGTATTTTGAACATTCCATTGGTTCCTGGAAATGTGGCTGTTATTTTCAAATTATTAAAAATAAATAAAGTTGAGTTTTGAAGGTTTTCTAGGCCTCAATCTGAACCTGAAATTGTACCTAGATGGTCCCATTTTGAACAGAGAGGACCGCTGGTTTGAAAGAGGGGTCAAAGAGGCCATCTATGTCAAAACTGAATAGCCTTCTCTCAACAGAGAGGGAGGGATACAACATCATCTATCTTCAGTCTGCAACACAGTCCTCTCAACAATTCCAAGAAGGCTCCACATCCATTTGCACCACTCAGGTGACCCTGACAACACAGATAAACCTCCAGGTGGCATCAACAACTCGTTAAAAGAATGCAAATGACCAGCTGTCTGCAAGGAATATAAATCCTTCCATTCCCCATCATCCAGTCAGAGCTGAAGAAGCTTCTTGGATGAGAAGCAAAACAACTTCAAAGAGAAAAAAGAAAGTCCAGTTGCCTCATGAAAAAGCATGACAACCATGATCTGAATGACTAAGAATCTCCATAGACATGTACCTAGATTATGATAGTATGCAGCATGTCTTATATCAAAGTAAGCATAGCAACATCTTAAGGAAAAACAAGGATATATTACTTGGGTGCATATTTTGCTCTGAAGGGATTCCTTCTGTATAACTACAAATCTGTATTTACCATTTATTTATACTGTGGCCTTCTTGTAAAAGTAGAAGGTAGCAATTATCTCACCATAATTATAGTGAACATATTTTCTTGGAAAAAAACAAAGGACAAACTTGAAAAAAGGGCAAATCTGAAAGAAGTTGATGAAGATAAAAACTCTTCATTGCTTATGTTTGCTTTATAAGGGCAAGTTCAAGAGCAAACCAAGAAAAACTACAAAAAATGCATATTAAAATATTTAAAATCAAAGAGTATATGTACATTTATTTTTTAAAAAGAATTCAGTTTCCTATTTTTTTTCACATGAATATGAAAGCTTGGGCATTAAGTGGTACCATTTATATGATAAATGTTAAATGACCAAAATAAAAGATAAATGTGAATGTTTGAAATTTAAGTAAATCTGAAGGACATGTGGTCACTGTAACAATTCATTTTATTTCACAACCATCTTGTAAAATAGGCTGGGCAGAGAGACAAGAACTGTCTCCTGGCAAACTTCAGGGCTGAGTGGGAATATTTATAGCTTTGGTCTAACCTTCTAGTCCAGGGGTAGGCAACCTTGGCTCTTTTATGACTCGTGGACTTCAACTCCCAGAATTCCTGAGCCAGCATAGCTGGCTCAGGAATTCTGGGAGTTGAAGTCCACGAGTCATAAAAGAGCCAAGGCTGCCTACCCCTGTTCTAGTCTCTATGATAGATATACCCTGAGTGTTGTGCAGAAATTGAATTTCAAATTCCCTAGCAGCAGATTGTAAAACAGTGTTATTGCCATTGAAAGCCATTTGCTGGAAACTAGGGGACTTCCTTGGGCAACTGGTTGGTCATTATGAGAACAGATTGCTAGGCTAGATGGGATAGGTGCCCAATCCAGCAGGGCAATGTTTACTATACATTATTATGAACAGCATAACGTAACACATCAGCTCCTCTTAGCATGCTAACAGCCACTGACATGTTAGTGTCATACTAATGAATGTCACAGTACCAGAGGACTCTGTTTAGTGAATCACGGTTTCTGTTTTACAGAGAATATTTATAAAACATTATTTTTCATTCACAAAATATTTAAACCTGGATCGAAACTCTATTCTGATTGTCCTGCATGCAATAAGCAGAAACACTGCAATGACTAACTTTTAACATTCAGTATACTGGAACTAGAGCAATTGACTTGATCTAGATCCAATCCTTACAGTCCAACGTTATGTATATTTGTTTTCAAGCATATCCCACAGATTATTTGTTTGTTTGTTTTTATCCTTGATTTATTTTTTCAAACAAATCAAGGCAGCAAACATATCCATCACACCTTCCACCTGCTATTTTCTCCACAATAACAAACCTGTGAGGTGGGTTGGGCTAAGAGATACTGGCGCAAGGTCACCCAGCAGACTTTCATGGCTAAGGTAGAATTAGAACTCGGGCTCTCCCATTTTCTTGCCTGGTGCCTTAACCATTAGACCAAACTGGATCTCTTAGTAATAGAAAACCAGGAAGCTGGAAAGCAATCTTGTTTTTTCAACTCAACATGGTAGTGTTTTTTTTAAAAAAAAATTCAGATGAGTAAAGATCCTATAAACATGAACCACAGCATGAATATACTTGTCCAGCTGGAAATCACATCAAAGAATTGCAACGAGATGCTTTCCAGACTACCAACTTGTTGATCTAAATTTCTTATACCAGACACTTCAGCTAGCACACCCAATGGTTATGATTATACCAGTCTTTTACACATTTGGCATCATCGATTAACTTATCATACTATATTTTACGGGTGCTCCTTGGATTTTTTAAAGCATTATACACTAGATGCATAAAGCTACACCCAATTTGCAGCAATGAAGTGATACATTTTTTTTTGCCTATCTTCATTTTTTTCTATCAAAGGGTAAGGAAGCAGGTATTTTAACACTATCTAGTTTTAGGGAACTAGTTTTGTTTGACTTTTTTGTTAATTGAAGAAATGGGCGGCAATATGGGCGGCAAACTTAATAAATAAGTAAATAAATAAAAATAATAAACATATCTTAAAATTGCATTTATTATGCTGCCTTTAGTGCATCACCTTTATTGGCTTTCCCCTTCTAATATTATGTTGAAATACCCTACCAACAATAATAGCGTCCATATATAGCATTTTTTCCTTATCAACTTGTTATTTTTGTAAAAGTCATCTTATTGATTCACCATATATCTTATTTTCATAAATCTTGTTTAAACACAATTTCTCCATAATATTCAAACAATTCTTATCAATCATAATTTTCTCAATAATTAACATCTAAATATCCAAATTTTCCACTTAAATATATCATTCCAGTATTTTCATATTTCATATATTATAGAAATACTATACTACTTATCTATCATAACATCTACCTATAACATCTTTTCTAATCAATTTATATTTCACTTCTATTTTTAAAAATTAATTAAATCACTATATATCATTTTTTCAAAGTGCTTATTAAGCCTAATTTCCCCTCAATATTTCAATCATTCCTTAATCCTAAATCTTTTCAAACTTAATTTGTCTTTAAAGTTCAAACTTTTCCTTCACTTTCATCATCCCAATATTTTTACATTTTGTATCTTATCAAAAAATACCATATTACTTATATCTCTTATCCTACTTATTCTAAAGCCAAAGTTATTTGTTTATTTAGCCATATTCAAACAAGTGTCTGCTCGTATAATATTCCATCTGGTAGGGCGAGTCGAGTCTCTTAAGCCCATCTCTAATCTTCTTCCTTTGCCAAATTATTTTCCAAATTAATATTTTCAACTTGTTAAACAGTTCTTGTATTTTTGTAGTTGTTGTTAGGCGTAGAGGATACATAATACGTAAGATATATGCTTTTTGTCTCCCAAACAGTGATTCTCCTAGCAGTGTCCATTTTGTTAAGTCTTCTTTCTTCTCAGGTTTATTTTGACGTTCTAATGTGTAAGGTATCTTTTCCATATTTATTGTTGTATCCAAATCCAAATCCAGATTTTTCTTGTTTGAATTAAGTTATAATTCCCTTCATTTGTGATTTCGCCAATTAAGTCATTTTTTTCTAGTTCACATTCTGTTATCTGATTTGTTTGTTCATTCTTTACCATCATTCTTTGAATGTTTTTTGATTGTAGATTTAAATTAGAAGTGTATTCATTTATGTTATCAAAGCTGTTCTTAATCTCCTCATGGTTTAGAGCTATTGTGATTTGTATCTGTCGTAGCATTGCATAAATTTCTTCTTGGAAAGTATTTTCTTGTCTTGAAATGTTGGTTCTAGAGGTCTTTGATATTTCCGATTGAATCCTTCAAGAGTAGATTTAAGTGTGGCTTTCTATCATTTTTTGATGAATATGTCATATCTATGTTGTCTCCCCCTTTCGAGTAATCCATCATAAGTGCCATAGGCTCTGTAATTAGCCTTGTCAAGCTGGCCAGAACTCAAAATCCAAACAGTCCAATTTTGTATAGTTCTTGTCAAGGTTTCAGTAAAATCAATGTTTTATAACAATTCTTTCTTTCATGAGTGAATTGTCAACCAATCAGAATTGCAATTCAGTATACTTAGCCACCTTAAATTCTTCCTGTAACTTTCCCTCTCAAAAATTAGTCATAGATCAAAGTTTTTACACAATTCATAAGTTTAGACCACAATCAAAGTATTTCTTTTCCTTCAAACACTTTCCAATCTTATAGCTGGCCCAGTATACAATCTTTTCTTTGTTCCCTGGCAACTATCTTCTTAAAGGTTATTAGAGTTCATGGGAACAGATTTTTCTTTATTTCTGGACGTTGTCTTTAATGTGCTATACTCTAATTGTCCACTAGATGTCAGCAAATATTTGTTTTCCAGCTCTTTCAGGCAAGAAGTTCTTATTGTTTTTCTTTTTTTAATAATTTCAACAAAATCCTTTAGAATATAATCTTAGCAGTTTGTTTTAGTTTCTAAGTTTGATCAGATTGTAGTATTTTAAATTTAATTTCAATATGTTTCTTTCCTCCTTAAAGGTTAATTTGCTGCTTCTGTCTATGGGGGAATGGGAATATAGTCCCCTCCCCTCACTTTCGGAGGTTTTTTGCTTTTGGGATCTTTCCCAGGGACTTAATTGCAAAATAAGGGAGAGAAGATCAAATACTCTCACCAATTCCAAGCACGCTGTTCACCATTGTTCTGGTTAGTGCTCTTGGACTTCAGCTGCAGTTAGCTTGGGCTAGATGCTGGCATGTGGCTAGCCTTTCTCCTGTCGGGTTCGGAGGGCTTCCCCTGGATCAAACGAAGCGATTGCTGTCACTTCGTGATCAACGTGGTGCCCCTCCTTCACAGTCACCTCTTTGGGGCGACTTCGGACCCATCTAGGGACCCCCCTGGCAGGATGAAACTAGCCGTGGGGAGCAAAGGTCCACTCTTGCGTGGCCATGCACTACAGGCACAAAACCGGAAGTATTCTATTCTATTCTATTCTATTCTATTCTATTCTATTCTATTCTATTCTATTCTATTCTATTCTATTATTGTGATGCATGTGAAAAAGGGCTCATGTTGATTTTATTTCCCTGCAGATACCCCAGGGGGTTTCTGTACCAAGAAGCCCTCTGTTCACATAACATCAGCCAAGTATATGGAGGGAGAGAATTCAGTCCTTTGGTCAGATTTGGTTCCATTCTTCTAGCTTGGGGAACATTTACTCAATACCAGGAAGATAACAACATCATAAACATGTCTTTGGAGGAAGAAGTTTCCAAACGTGGTGAGTTGAAATTGAGACAGCTGAGAATAACAGAACAACAAAATAACAGAACAACAAAATAACAGACTTTATAATAATAATAATAGAATAATAACAATAAGTAATAACAGAATAACAAAAGATCTTGGAGATCTTCTAGTCCAACCCCCCATGCTCAAGCAAGAAACCCTGTACCACTTCAGACAAATGGTTGTTCAATCTCTTCTTAAAGAGCCATTATGGAGCAGTGGTTAGAATGCATTATTGCAGGCTAATTCTGTCGACTGCCAGCAGTTCGATTCTCACCAGCTCAAGGTTGACTCAGCCTTCCATCCTTCTGAGATTGGTAAAAGGAGGACCTAGATTGTTGGGGGCAATATGCTGACTCTGTAAACTGCTTAGAAAGGACTATAGTGCACCATGAAGTGGCATATAAGTCTAAATGCTATTGCTATTGCTAAAAACCTCCAGTGCTGGAGTAGTCACAACTTCTAAAGACAAGTTGTTCCACTGATTAATTGCCAATCAGTTAATTTATTGAAAAAGTAGATGAGAATTCAGGTGAGAATACCAGTAACCTGATAGATTGTATATGAGGCAATGGCTCAATTGGCAGGAGAGTCACTGGGCTTTCTAGGAGTCTAATTCTTAACTACTTCCTCGTCCCCAACAGCCCCAAACTTAATTCTCAGCTACTAAAATTCCTGTTAAAAAAAGAAACCTTATTCTTGTATAGTAACTCTTTATACTGTTAGTAGACTTCAGTGTCTAACTTTGCTTCTGCCCTCCCCAAATTGACATGTAGATCAGAGCAAATAAATGAGCAGAACTTTCATTGTTGCATTATTTTTTCCATATGAAGGATTTCTTGGTCTGCTGGAACATTCATTTCTACAAAAATTGCTTCCAGCTTTGGACTGAGACAACTGGACTGTAACTCGTGAAGGACTAGGCCTATATTTAAATACATTAAGTTCTAAACTTAGTATGCAACACATAGTGACAAAAAAAAACTAAAGATAAGAACGCTTAGCCATGTTTGCTGTTTCCTTCCCTTTTGTTAATGGCTGAATCTAATTACTTTTTAAATCTTTAGTTGCTTTATTTTTATGATTAAAGATTTATTACAGATTTTTTTTTTTTATCCACTTTTATTTTGTGCAACTCAGCGTGACATACATAATTCTCCCTCTTCCTTTTTTCACTACAACGATCTTTTATGGTGAACTGAGCTGAGAGAGAGAGAGAGACTGGTCCAAAGTCACCTATATGGTTGTTATGCATAAGGAAGGATTAGAAGTCACAGTCTTATGATTTCTAATTCGGAAATTAAATGCGGTATCAAACTGACTCAGTTTATTGATTATCAAGTTTATTGTGTTAGTTTATTATTATCATCTACCTAGAATGCAGGAACGAAATGAAACACTTAATGGATTGTATATCCCTGGAATTAGGAATAACAGCTCAGAGACTGAATAGTGCAACTTTTAATAAATAAAGTAATCCCAAGGTTTGGAGCTAGAGATTGGACAGATCAGTCATGGCATACATAATACAGTTTTGGTATACCTATATGTAAGTTCATATGTTAATCCAGAAATTGCTCAAAGCAGAAATAAAGGAATAGACATAACTGTTTTAAGGCATGCTTCAAACATGTTTTGGAAGAAATATTCAGACCTGATGCAAGCACAATGTCTCTCTATTATTAATTAAAGCAGCTGTTTCCCTTCTCTATGCCTATTGAAAAGCTTTCAGTTTTTATTTATTTTATAATTGAGTTTATAGCCCAATCTGTTACAAAGGTTGAGGGTAACTGAATAAAAAGAAGTACTTTTTTCTCTTTTACCCAAGGATCATGTATCGTAAACTGCAATGTGGTTTGCTTGGGTTAGAGTTAGCTCAATGAAGTTTGAAAACTATGATTTTGCAGCTTACATGTGAATTGGGCCACCCTGTCTTATTCAACCTTGGCTTGGTGTAATCCATGAACTTTAACCTTCAAACATCAACCCTTGAAAATTGTGTCAACAGTTGCAATCCTGTATTCTTTGAAGTACTTTCAATTTCTCCCTCCCCCACCTCACCATCCTATTATAAAAAGGATAGAAAGCCATGTGAATTTTTAACAGAAATAAAGTGTGCTGCCTTTGAAAACTGATACACAGGAGCAAATTGATTTCAAACTGAACTATCATTAATGGTTGTACTAAATCTTTTCCTGACATTAGCATGTACATATTTGTGCTAGAGAGGTAGACTAAACTAGGGGCCACATTTAATTGGGGAAATAACTGGCAAGGTGTTTCATTCTGTAAATGATGAATGATTAGGAAAGGACTTGCCTTCCATGTAAACAAAACCCATTTGATAGAGCAGGTCTTATTCTTGAGCACGCATGTAACATTTATTAACGAATGACAACAAAAGACCATCTGAATATCAGAGGCAGACTATATCCTCATGCCCTGCCTTCTTATAAATTATTCCATGAAACCAATTTTTTTGGAATTGCACCATATACTGAAATGTAAATTAATCCCATGGGATCCGTTCACAGAATACGCTGGGCTAAAATGTAGTTGGCAAGTTTATAGTTGGCTGATTGCACCAAGAGAACTATAAACAAGTCTTAGACAGCAGTCTGATGAGCTACTTGCTTAGGTTCACAATGGACTGTGGCATTGCGACCCAATCCTATCAACTCTGCACTGTGAGAGGGTAAAAAAATGCAGCTTAATTAGGAAAGTGAGCGCCATCGGCCACTCTTAGTAATGGAATTCCTGGCTTTCAGTGAAGCCAGCTCCCCCAATCTGGCGATTTGACCTCAACTCCTATAATCCCTGGTCAGCTATAACTCAATGCTTCCAAGGGGCATCAGACAGAAGATGCCCGAGTTAGTACTTCTGCTCCTAGACCTAATACAGTAATCCAAGATAAAGAAACACTTATTCTTGAGATAATTTTAAAAGCGTTTGGCAAAGCACGATATAGATACATATATACGATATTAACTCGTTACTCTGGCAGAGGAAAACAACTGAGAACACAGGACAGAGATTTGCGAGCAGAGAAGCCAACTGCAAAGGCGAATTGTTTTTAATTTACAGGAAAAAGTGAACTCTGCATTCTCATTACTCTGGCAGAGGAAAACAACTGAGAATACACGACAGAGATTTGCGAGCAGAGAAGCCAACTGCAAAGGCGAATTGTTTTTAATTTACAGGAAAAAGTGAACTCTGCATTCTCTCCCTCCATCCCTACAAAGAACCAACCGAATCCATCCAGAGAGAGAAGTCCTCCCTGCTGTCCTCCTCGCCGGACAAGGAACTCACCCATGCTGATGGAAGTGGCGCACACAGCTCCCCCAAAAAAGTTTGCTTCCCAACTCGAGAGTGGACGAAAAGAGAAAGCCCGGCCCGGCAGTCCCTAGGGATCGAAGCTTCAGTTTAGCGCTTCCCAGCCACGGACTTTAGCGCCGAGAATGAAGGGACGTCCGGCATTCCGACGCTAGGTGGCTCGCTGTTGGGAGGCCCCCGGGGCAAAGCTCTCGATTTTCCAGGATCGCATCCTGCATGCCCGCGCCGCCGCAGAAGGACGGAGCCAGGAGCAGAAATGTTGCTCCTTCGGAAGCCCCGGGAAGCTGGAGGCCCGCGAGAGCTTAACTTTCCCAAAAGCGCACAGAAGTTTGGGTCTTGGGTTTGTGTTTTTTTTCCGTCGTCGGCAGACGGGACTGAAGAGCGCCACGTTGCTCCGGACCTGCCTATTTACTGCGGCGGGGAGGGGAACCCCTCGCAGAAACAGGGAAAACGACCAGCGGCGCTGGGGAAGGAGGCGCGCCATCTCGCTCGTTCTTCCAGGGCCTGGCTGGGTGGGATCCGGGAGCGCAGGGAGACTAGCGAAACGGCCCCCTCGCTCAGGTTTGCTAGATCCCATCCATTCCGGAGATGTTGGGTAGACTAAACGCCGCCGGTTTTGGTCTGCGAAGTCAACTACCGATTCTTAGGAAGAGCCAAGCATCGTGAAAAACAGCTTTGGCACCGGGGTAGCTGCTTTCCATCGGTGCCTGATTTCTATTTCACTCTAAACTTGGCATACTTTCCTCACCCATGGTTTCGTGTCTAATAGGCACTCTTTATAAACTGCAACGGCTATTCAGCATATTAAAGGAATAGGAAATGAATCACAAGTTGGCTTAATGCAGGATAATGTGACCAACATCCAGAGATTCCACGGTGTCCAGGCGTGGTCTTCTAAGAGCACCATGATTGCTTTTAACTTTGGCAGCAAAAAGGCTGATTGGGGTGGTTTACACTTGACTTGAGAGGGTGTGGTCATGTCTTATCTAATTGCTCCCAAACAAGTAAACCACAATCTAACATGGGTGTTCAGGTGACCTCAGAAGGCCTTTTGCAGCTAGCTGACTGGTCAGAACTGAAGTTCCGACTTTGTGATACATGTGAATTCAGCCACTTAAGTCAGTTTGACATAACAATACTCTGATGGTGTTGTTTCCTGATTCTGCCCAAAGTTGCCTGGAATTAAATCTAAACCTAAAACTAAGGCTCTTTTATGACTTGTGGACTTCAAATCCCCAAAATTGGCTGGCTCAGGAATTCTGGGAGTTGAAGTCCACAAGTCATAAATGGGCCATAGTTCCCCACTTCTGAACTAAACCTTCAAATTGTTGTTATTAGCCTAAACAGAATTTCAACTTTGAATTGTGAGCTGTCCAAGTTGTTTGCCGAGATGGGCAGCTATAGAAATCAATCAAACATGCAAACATGTCACTTCCCAAACCCTCTACCAGTAGTGGTCACAGTATACAATATTGTGCGTAACAAGTAACGTGTGTGTGTGTGTGTGTGTTTTAATCAGGATGGATGCATATGTCTTACCTCTGAATGGTAATTACACAGTAGAACCCCACAGTAGAACTGTGCTTCCTTGATTTGAATTGTAGTTGAAAGTCTTGATTCAAAGTGCCAAGTCATGATTTGTTTCATTGTGGTTTGCTATATAAGCCACAGCTACACTATGGGGATGATCTTGCCTAGAGACTGGGGACTCAAGATATAATTGAAGGTTCTCCCCCCCCCCCCAGGAATCGTATTAATGTTAGCAACCCATTTGTGAAGCAGCCATTACGACAAGAAAGAACTGGAGAGGCATTTAAAAGTAAGAGATATAGTAATGAGTAATTTCAGCCTTCCTTGGCCAAGCTTGATAAATACATGACACAGTTATTACAAAGAAATACAATATATACTAGGCTAGAACATTTGCAACTCTTTAGTTTCTAAGAAACGCTATTAAAGGGGGATAGCATTAAGATATATGATACAATTATGCATGGAATAATATGAAGTGGATAGAGAATTTATTCTCTCTTAAAATACCCAGCGAAGCTTTAAAACATATTATTTAAAATAGGCAAAGAAAGGCACTCTGAATCACACAGAAAAAGGTGCTTCAGTGCCCACAGGAGTGCTGATTAAGATCTGTTGGCAATTTCTTTAAGCTACTGAATCTTCTCTAGGATCACATGGCTGCTCTCTGCAACTGTAGGATGATCCCAAGAAAAGGTGTGTTTACATTTTGGGGTTGTAGACAAGGGCCAGCTATGGATCTTTTGCACACTGAAGCGTCTTTTCCCCTTCAAATCTGAGGTCTTGCACAGCCTTAAAAGAAAGCATTTCTTCCATTAACCTATGGCAGTGATGGCAAACCTTTTAGAGACCGAGTGCCCAAAAACTGGCCCTGCCCCGCTCCATCCCCTGCCCCGTCCCTGCTCTGCCCCCCATCCCCCGCCCCGCCTGCTCGCAGGGCCACTCACCACTTCCAGGGCCCACTGCAGATCACCCAGGCAGCCCAGCAGCGCTATAGCGGTCACGGCCTCTGCCCGTACCCTGCAGCATCAACTGTGCACGATGGGGTGTGAGAGCAGAGTTTTGTCTACACTGCCTGGCTGCCATGTCCTTGGCTGCGCTGCTCCACGTGGGCCATGCTCAGGGGCGACTCTCCTTCAGGAGGGCTGTTGGAGAGGAGGGGGTCACGGGGAGAGGTGAGGCTGGGGCAACAGCACGTGTGCCCACAGAGAGGGCTCCAAGTGCCACCTCTGGCACCCGTGCCATAGGTTCGCCACCACTGACCTATGGGATTCATTAGCATGTGAGGGAAACTTACGTAGACAGCTATAAAAAGAGACTAGATACATTCATCAAGGACAGATCTGTCTTAAAGACTCTGTGGTAACTCCAGGTTGAGGTTATCATGCCTCCAAATACCAGTTGCAGAGGGGAATAACTGTAGCAGAAGATAGATCACCTGGTTGGCTACGGCGAGAAACCAGATTCTTGATTAAGATGAGCCTTGGCCTGATCTAGCAAAGCAATTCTTACATTCTTACAAGTATCCTAAATACGTTTACTCTAAGATCAGGGAATCTTGGGGTATAAGTCAAATTAGTAAATGGCAATGCAAATCCTATCCTTTTGAACATACCTGTGTGATATTAACAAGTGAGCAAAGGGGATGGGGAATAATAATACTAATATTACTACTACTACTACTACTAATAATAATAATAATAATAATGAGCTGCAAGAGATCTTGGAGGTCTTCTAGTCCAATCTCCTGCTCAGGCAGGAAACCCTATACCATTTCAGACAAATGGTTGTCCAGTCTTCTTAAAAATTTCATGTTGGAGCATTCTGGAGACAGGTTGTCCACTGATTTAATTGTTCTAGCTGTCAGGAAATTTCTCCTTAATTCTAGGTTGCTTCTCTCTTTGATTAGTTTCCGTCAATAGCCTCTTGTCCTAACCTCAGGTGCTTTGGAGAATAACGTGACTCCCTCTTCTTTGTGCCAACCCCTTTGTATCATGACATTCTGTCCATTATCTTGCAGTAGTTGATAATAACCTCCCCCCATGGCATCCCCTACCTAGGGCAGTTTGCTCGTGCAAAAGGTCGGAAAAGAGTCAAATATGTTATTTTTAAAAACTTGATTGAAAATAGTGATCACACTGTTCTCAATTTTAATGTACTGTATATGTAAAGGGGAAACAACAAAGGAGCTGCACACAGCTGACATGTGACTTCAGGGAGAATACTTTTAGAAAAAGAGAAAAACAAAAAACAAAAAGTAAAATCAAGAACAAAGCCTTACTCATTTTAAAAGATTATTGTATGCCATAATAATAGCTCACCTAGAATGTATGCCACAGGTCAGAAATAACTTGATTTATTCCTTATTTTTCTTTCTATATATATAGTGGGTTTCTTTCTTAAGAATCCTTCCTTCCTTCCTTTCTTTCTGCCTCCCTCTTCTTTCCCACCTCTTTTCACACTTAATAGTAACAAAAAGGAAAAAAAATCTTAAGAGCTCATTTTTTATCTCTGTCATAGTAAAACTGTTCACTTTCTCCTACTATCAGGTTTCTTTTAGAACATTACAGGCCCACACTGGACTAGGCTAGGATTGTCTTTTGTTTTATTATTGTTTTTCTTCTTAGCCATTTAGCAAACTTGTTAAAAAAGCAGAACTGTATAAATTCAACTGCAAACAAAATAAACTCAGCTTTTCTGTAACAGCTTTTCAAGTGTGCTTTAGGATCAAAGGATTCCTAGGAGTAACATCAATCGATTTGCTGTTCTTGAATTGTTGCTTTGTGCCTTAAATGAAGGCACTTTGTTTTCAAAAAACCTTGTTTTATTACAAACTGCTGCTATTCCACAATGTCACTTTGGAATTTCACTCTTGTTTTTTCATAATTCCTCTCGGTGTGAGAATACAACTGAAGATAATCTGTTCTAGTCAGAGAGATGTATATCTGAACTTGGCTTTTTCATATTTCTAATTCATATTTAAATGAGCTAGCTCTTTATATGTTTACTGTTAGATTAGCTTACTGTTCCCTTTTTCAAATTTCAGTTTCAGAGGAAACATTAAAAAAACGTTTATTTGAATGGTTGCATCTTATGAATGGTTCAAAAGGACTCCAAATAAGATACTGAAGAAAACCCATAAAATCAATAAAGTTGAAGGAAGTAGGGTTTTGAAAGATGGATTCAGAAATGATATTGGAAGGATTTGCTAACTAGAGCAATTGCTTTGTAATGCTGATCACCATGCTTGTTGGTCTTGCACTTAATATGACTTCACAGTGACACTTCTTCATTCCTTCCCAGACAGATATTTTAGTTTATTAGGATTTGTTCCACATCCTGCATACAATAACTGGGCTCACACCTCAGATGGGAAGTAAGGGAAATCGAAGACAGTTCTATCAAAACAGTGAGTAGACCAGTTCCTCGGAATCTCTTAATGAGAGAATGGAAAATCACTTATTTGCTTCAGACAGTTGCTCCTTGTGAGGAGACAGCAAGACAATGATTTTCTGCAAGTTTCAACATTCGGACATTAC